ATAATAATAATAATAATAATAATCCCCTGTGGGTTCGGGGATAGAATAGGCCCACTCTCGCCCTAGAGATCGTAAAAGGCGATCAATGGGCACTAAAGGTGACAAGTCCAACCACCTTTAGTACTTACCTACCCACTTTACTTTCCAACTCCCACGCCCATGTTCCCTACTTTCCTACATTATACACAACACGCAGGTGGATATTTGCTTACGCGAATATCTTGAAGAGTGACGCCTTCACGTGTTCCTAGTCACCCCATATTCTTATGAATGTGGAGTTTAAACAAAGCCTCGGAAAAATGCCGCTACCTGAGGAGCGTCAGGGCACGTCTGGAGCTATCGCTGGGCGTTGCAGCATGCGAGCCGATAGTGACGAGTTGGTGAACAGGCGGCCGCTCGTCGGGATACCCGAAACCTCTACAGCCGAAAGAAGACTACGAAGAGGACAACGACCACCTGAAGAGGACCGCCATGAAGAGACCTTTGTGCCTGCTTCTCAACCGCTTGTGGATGGGACCAGCGCAAAGGAAACCTCCAAAAGACGTATGAAATGGGACGAAGGGATGAATCGCTTCATTTTTGGTACGTATCTGGAGATCACGAAGATGGAAACGGACAGGACAGCATACAGAGGTAAACTATATCACGCGTTCATTACACAATACCCACATTTAGCACACTTAACAGAACAACGCATTGCAGATCAACGTAGAGTTATTATTAAAAATACACTCCTTACATTAGACACACAGGAACAAATCAGGCACGAAATTGAAGCACTACTCAACACAAACAACACACTCACCGTACAAGATAATACATCCGTTCTAAACAACTCTGAAAGACAGACATTTGCGACACTGCAGCCATCGATAGATACAAATAATCACACGAACCAAACACTCACATCCCTTCAAAAAGAATTCGACAATGCATTATTAGAATTCTCAAACACTGACCCAACAGAAAGACCACGAATACCTAAACAAAGTCACACTACAAAATTACGCACACTTTCACAAACATTAAATGACCACATTTTACCAAATTACATTAACGATAACACAAGCTTACATCAACTACACTTTGTTGTGTATTGCGGTGCGGTTGCAGTTTCTAGATGTAACGGTGCAAGAATAACAATAAACAAACAACAGCACACAACAAAAAAACGCTCACCCCCGGCCTGGGAAAAACGCCTGATAACTCGCATCGATGACATCAGACGTGACTTAGGTCGGATTACACAATACATACAAGGAACTCGTTCTTCAAAACTAACACGACAAGTACAACACATAACTACAAAACTAAACAATCACACCACACGAGAACAAAATACAAACTATAACGAACATAGAGATACACTGACACAAAAACTATCAATATACACAAACCGTCTAAAACGCTATAGGGAAACTGCAGATAGAAAGCGCCATAACACACAATTTAAACATAACGAAAAACTATTTTACAGATCACTAACACAAAACAGCACTAATGAAAAACTCATTCCACCATCTCTACACTCACTCCAGCAATACTGGTCTGACTTATGGACCAAAGACATTAAACACAATCCACACGCCCCGTGGATTACCACAGAAACCACACGCACTGAATACATTACCCCTATGAATAACACAAACATCACTACAACAGACATCATTCAAACTATTAATCACTTACATAACTGGAAAAGTCCAGGCATTGATAACATTCACAACTTTTGGTGGAAATCTTTTACCTACACTCACTCTTACCTTGCACAACAATTTACTGAACTTCTTAATTCACCAGATCGCACTCCTGCATTCTTTACACAAGGTATCACTTATATGCTCCCAAAAGACAACAATACACAAGACCCATCTAAATATAGACCAATTACATGCCTTCCTACAATATACAAAATCCTTACATCATGCATTACAAACAAAATATACCAACACTGTACTGATAACAACATTCTATACGAAGAACAAAAAGGGTGTACCAAGTATTCCAGAGGCTGTAAAGAGCAACTCATTATAGACTCTGTTATACTTGAACAATCCAGACATAACAAACGAAACATACACACTGCATACATTGATTACAAAAAAGCGTTCGATTCAGTACCACACTCTTGGTTACAACAAGTACTCTCAATATACAAGGTCAGCAACAATATTACACAATTCCTCAATTACATAATGTCATGTTGGAATACTACGTTAACACTTACACTAAACGACACAAAACTTATTACCGACCCAATACAAATTAAAAGAGGAATTTTTCAAGGCGATTCTTTAAGTCCGCTCTGGTTTTGTCTTGCTCTTAATCCACTTTCATATTTGTTAAACACTACTAAGTTTGGGTACAATATTAAACACAACCACGAAATACATCACAACATTACACACCTGTTTTACATGGACGATCTTAAATTATACTCTTCCACAAGCATAAAACTTAATCACCTTCTACACATTACCGAAACATTCTCACGTGACATACAAATGGACTTTGGAATCGATAAATGTAAAACACAACACATCACAGCTGGTAAAAGACAACTTTTAGATTATGAGCTAGAACAGGGTAATTTAATAAATTCCATGGACGAGAATGAAACTTATAAGTATCTTGGTTTTCAGCAAAACACACACATTAAACATACGAGTATAAAACAAACACTTATTACACAATACCTACAAAGAGTACGCAGTATACTTAAAACAAAATTACACGGTAGAAATACAATCAAGGCTATTAACACTTATGCCACACCAGTGCTTACATACTCTTTTGGGATTATACGTTGGACAAATACAGATTTAGAACAAATACAGAGAAACACACGTACACTATTAACAAAACACCATATACATCACCCTCACTCCTCTACTATACGACTTTACCTTCCTCGTTCGGAAGGAGGTAGAGGACTTACAGATATAAAACTATTGCACCAAACACAAATACACAATTTGCGACAATACTTTTATAACAAAACAGATACTTCAGTCCTACACAAAACAGTAACATATGCAGACAAATCTTACACGCCACT